TTTGTAAAAGGCCGTGGGGCAGAAGGGTTGTGCAGGCTGCAGCACAACCACACAGATTCACCCCAAATCTTGCTCTTCCTGCAGCAGAAGGAGGATAATTTTTTCTATCTTTATTAAAAAAAACCCCACAGAATGAAGTTGTGTTTTGCTTCTTGTGCTGATAGATAGTCACGTGTCTGACATAACTCCAAGCTAACATTTTTTTCAGAATTACATTTACTTTCAAAGAAACTTGTTTATAAGGTACATTTTTCTGAGCTTGTTTCCTTCTTAATGAAGTAATGGTTTTCCTCTTGTCATTCTTCAGTTCAAGCAAGATCTAATATTTCAATTGCCTTTTTCCCGCAGTCACACCGAAAAGAGCAGCAAGCATGAGAAGCAGATGGATAAGAATATTTTAGTTTTGCACAGTAAACATATTTCTGAAACTTAACAGTATTTCTACCTTTTTCAGCTGCAGGAAAAAAAAAAAAATCCACTTGAAAGAATCAAGTACAACACTGAGGATGAACAGCCCATTCCATACAAGATTTAAATGGGTTTGGTTTTTATCTCCTAGGTTAGGTACTGGAATAATGGGCAAAAAGAAGAATCTTCAAACAGAGTAAAAGCAGCAGGGAATGAAACATCAATAAAAATCACGGGGTTGAGGAGCAACTTGGCTTATTACACAGCTGTCCGTGCCTACAACAGCGCTGGAGCAGGGCCCTTCAGTGCCACTGTCAATGCCACCACCAAAAAGCCACGTGAGTACCTCAGTTCAACCTGGGGAGAAGCACAAACACTTGGAGGGGAGGGAAAACCGTGATTTTCTCCAGGATTCCTGGGAATTGCAGTATGGGTGAGCTCAGTTTCCATGCAGTCCCAGGAATCCAGCACAGAGCTGCCACACTCCTCTTCAGCAGGGTGAGTAAGAACCCAGCCATTCCAGGGGAGCCCAAGGAAGATCTGTAATTCCTGCACAGAACCTTTATTATGCTGCTAATGACTGGAAGAAATTGAAAGGGAAAAAAAACCAAAAAACCTCTGTTATTTAGAAGGAGGGAAAAAAAGAAAAAAAGAGACTTGTTGAATTTTTCAGTGTTCTATAACATATTTATAAGTTCTCTAGGGCATGGCTTTTGAAATGCAATGAACCTCATGGAGTTCATGCAAAACAATCCTTCATGTCCACTGTTTCCCCTTGAACAAATTGCACAAGAGGCCACTCTGCTGCTGCAAAGGCGAAATTAAGCTGGAGAACAGATTGTCAAAGGCTGCACTAATTTTTCTACAAGTGGAAATATTTTTAGTGTGCTCCTCCGTTGTAATACAGCTCCCAATCAGGGTCATCAGTCTTGAAGTGTTTCTGTCAGAGGCACAAGAACATACAATTAAATCTGTCTGAAGGGTCAAATGCCCTGCAATAGTCATTAATGAGCAGACAGAGTTGGAGCATTAATATTAGGAAATAAGCTAGTTTATCAGAAATTATTCTATGCAAAAACGAGTGTCAGTCCATCACTGAGGACTAAACCAACTCAGATTTGCCAGAGTATAAATATATTATATGCACAATTACCATGAACTGGCTGATCTGAAGTGACTCACTGCCTGCAGCCTGGACAGGACATGGGAAAAGGAATTTTTTCCAATTAATCATCTTTGTGGCTGCTCACTAGAGATGGTGCCAGGCTGGTCAGCTCAGGGATTTGCAGGACTTTTTTAGTGTTTCCCCCACTTTTGGGCTGTGTGACTGAGAGCTGGACAAGCCCCTGATCTCACTGGACCTGGATCAGGCCCTTGGGAAAGTCTATTCTATTTGGAATCATTAGAAAGGAAAATTAATTGCATTATGTCCACGGATCTTTCTGGTGGATGAGGCAAGCAAAACCATATAATGTCAATCTGAAAATTTTAATAAATTAGTTGAATTGCTAAGAGAAATAATCCTCTTTGCTGCTGCAGTGAAAACTGATTTTTCATTCAAATGTGTGATTTTTAATCAATCCCAATTTGTAATTTAATTTGAATATTTGTGATTGGTGTGGTTTTCACAGTGAAGGATTTGCATTCCCCCACAGGACCTGCCAGGTACAGCTCAGAGACTCTTGCCATATCAAGAAATACAAATAGTTCAGTTCTGTTGGCAGTGTATTTCAAAATTGAAATTGAGCCTTTGACAGTGAAAATATCTTTGCTTTTAAATTTGAAATCTGCATGTTTACAGCCCAGAATAACAAGTGGAGGTTTAAATATTGCTATTTAAAATGCCAGGTGGGTGGGGAAGACTTGCTCAAGTTGTTACAATTATTTCATACTTGGAAAGTCTTAAAATAAAACCCAATGTTCTGTCCATCAGCTGGTAATTCTGAGAAATGCTCCTGTCTGAGAGCAGCTTTCAGCACCTGAGAGCTCAGAAATCCCTGCAGCTCCTTGGACGTGTCCTGCTGTGACTCCATGGATCAGGACCTGCCACAAATGAAGTTCTGAGCACTGAGGATTGCTGGAGATTTTGGTGTCTGCAGCAAGTGGAGCCTTCTGAATCCCACAGACAGAGGCTTACAGCTTTTATGGATAATTACTCTTCATTTTTTTCCACATGTCATCTTAATATTTTGTTGTGGATTTCAAGGATGACTCATTTCCTTTGAAATTCAGCTGTGGTATCTCAGTGTGAAGACGATTCATACATGCTGTAACACTTCATTCTCAGGAGTGAAACAATCTCCTCTTTCATTTACAAGAAGTGGTTATTATTAGAACATCAGGTTAAATCTTCCTCAGTACATAGAACAAGACAAATAGTGGGGAAAAAAAAATAGCTGTGGGTGGTTGGTTGACTTTGGAATAATTTTTTTAAACCTCACGGGTTTTTTTCCTGTTTTTTGAGTATAATCAGGTGGGTTTTGATCTGACTGCTTATGGAAAGAAGGCAGGGAACTTTCTGTGTGAACGAATTGAAGAGAGGAGGGAAAAAATAAGAGGAAAAAAACCCATAAGCACATGGATACAAGTGTTCAAAACCACTCTCAGTGCTGAGAGCTGGAACCTCCAGCCTCAAAGCACAGCTCAGCAGTTGCCTCCACTAGGTGACAGCAACAGTAAATTGTTTGCCTTAACACATTTAGAAAAGATTTTAATCATTGATTTGTGTCACTGCAGGACCCATTTTCTGGGAAACCATCCTGAGGTATTTGAAGAGGTTTGTGCTTACCTGAAAGCTTGGCAGCTCCAAGGTACACGAAGGGGCAGAGCCCAGAGCGTGCAGCTGCTTTGCAAGTAGTAGGCTTGGGTTGCTAATGAACAAAAAATCACAGCAGATTTCCTTGGCCAAAGCCCACTTCTGGCACAGGCTCAGTTCAGAACCACAACTCAAGTTGGAAGAACCAACAGGGGGAAAAAAAAAAAGCCCTTCAAATATTTTCTGTAACAAACATCTTAAAGTAAATCAACAGTAGTGAGTAAATTTGAATATTCAGTGAGACTGAATTTGTCTAGTAATCTATTGTGAAGAATTTTCTTGTTCTTGGTGCTGTACTAAAACTAGAAATTGTCTGTTGCCATCATTAGAGTTTGTTCTAATTAATCACCCACGTCCTAAGGCACGTGCTTCTGTCTGGCTGTATTGAATGAAGGACCAGCAACAGATATTGCAACTTCAGAAACAACATTCATGTGCCATTCTGGCTTTCTCCTTCCTTCTGTTTTTCAAATTTAGCCTCTGAACCATGACATGCACAGAGAGGAGCCTGCACTGGAGCTGCTTTTGCACCCCAAACGAAATGACAGCCAATTACCTGAGCTGGTGAGGCAATCAGCAACGCCAGTTAAATTAAAGCCCTGCTTTTGTTGTGTGTTTGAAGCTCCCAGCCAGCCCCCAGGAAACGTGGTGTGGAATGTGACAGACTCCAGAGTTATCCTGAGCTGGGAGGAGGTCAGAGCCATGGACAACGAGTCCGAGGTCACGGGCTACAAGGTCAGTGGGGCCAGAGCTGGGAGCAGCCCAGAGCTGGTATTTCCTCGTCTGTTTGGTGTTCAGGGGATGCACAGAACCACCCCTAATCCATTTCACTGGGGTCTCTTGTAGGGGTTTTAAATCATATTCTAACAGTGTCTCACACTAATGCCCCCTAATCCCTTTTCCTCCCCAAGCTGGCATTGCTCATCTCTTGGGGGATGCCACCTGGATCTTAGAACATTTGAACTCTTAAACATCCATAACACTTATTTTAAATGTGTAACACTTACCCAAATGGATAAAACTTTGAAAGGAACCAAAAAAGATTCAGCCTGATGGATGTAGCTTCCATTGTTGGCCAGGTGTATTTATTATATTTATTATATATTATCACATATATTAAACTGATATTTTTAAACCTTTTCTCCTCTTACTCGCTGTGGGCCATGCTCATTTCCCTGACAGAAATTACACTGTTGCATCTGCTCTAAATCTGATCAGCCCACAAATGTAGAAGTGTTTAAATGTGTCATATAAGTGTGTGTATAAAGCATAGCTGAGGATGCTCCTGATAAGCTCTGTACAGCTGGATCCCACATAATATATTCCTGAATAAAAGATTTAGGCTGAAGATCTGATTACCCACTGAGCTGTGTTGGAAAGAAGTACGTTTTCACAGCTTGTTCCAGTGTCCCACCTCCCATTATTTCCTATTATTATAATAAAAATAATATATAATAAGTATCATCATCCGTTGTGCCATTTTAAATTAAATCTGGAATAAAAGGCTTTGACTGATGTTCCCTTCTTCCTTTAACTGTAATTCCACCCTGGAATATTAACCAAAAATCAGCTCTTTTCTTCCACCCCATCACTCCCACAAAGCTGAAGCCTTGTTTGTGAGGGACAGAGAGGTGCTGAGGGTGTGCTGTGTTGCAGGTTCTCTACAGGACCAGCAGCCAGAGCAGGGTGGAGGTGCTGACCACGGACACGACCACGGCCGAGCTGTGGCTGCGGCTCCAGGACGATTATTTCATCGAGGTCAGAGCAACCACCGAGGGGGGAGATGGCAGCAGCAGCGAGCAGATCCTCATTCCCAGACTAGCCAGTAGGTTGAACCACTTTCCTTTGTCCCAGTGCTTCCTTTGTTGATGGAGGGGAGGGGGAAAAAAAGTAAAATTAATGCTTAGATGTCGTGTGGTAATAAAAAGGAAAAGAGGAAAAGTCTTCGTGCCCTTATGCATGGCAAACTCCATCCTACTGAACTGCTAAAGTACCATGGAAATTGGTATCAAAAATGTTAAGTTTTTTTATTTTTCTCCTTTAAAAAAACAACAAACTACTAGCTTGGAAGTCGACTCACAGAATCATTAAGGTTGGAAAAGACCTCCAAGATCATTGAGTCCATTCTTTGACAAACACCCCCTTGTCAGCTAAACCAGAGCACTAAAACCATTTGTGACCACAGCTCTGTCATTTTTAAACACTTCCTATATTTTTGTAGGTCTCCAATGCTTGTAGGAAAAAATGACAGTAATTTTTGCTTAGCATCTAGGAAGAGTGGCACAGCACATGCTTCATGTTTTTATTTAATCCTGGATTCATTTTTTCCTTTGTCACAGGTATGGATGCAAGAGGTTCTGGCCCATCAGTCTCGAGGACCTTCAGTGTCTCCAGCTTCTTAGCAACAATATTTTCCTTGACCCTTAATTCCGTGTTGTGCTGATACATTTGCATTTGCTGGGGGAAAAAATAATTGGTTACTAAAGTGCTTTTTTTTAAAAAAAAACTGCAGTGGTTAATGCATGTTTTTTCTTCTATCCTGAGGTGTTTTTAAATTCTTTCTATTTCACTGTAAGTTGAAGTAAAAATACCATGTAAAGTTTAGCAAATCCTTTAAAAAGGAATCTAAAATGCCTTAATACTTGAACCAAAGGAGTTTACATGTTACATACTTCAGATACAGTGTAAGAGAGAGGGGGAGGGATGGCACTGTGAGGTCAGGGCTAGGAGGGAGAGTGAGAAACTCAATTTTGGCAGCAACCCTGAAATGTTCTGGGTGTGTTCTGCACTGTTAAAATAACATTTGACGTGGAGAAGATGAAATCAGAGCTGTGGCTGTTACCAGCCAGAGGGCACCACAAACACCAGGTGGCTGCTCCTAAGGAGATGCCATCACCCAGGAGTTTGGATCATTTTCCTGCTACCCTCTGTGGGAGTTGCTCCAAATGGAAAGAAATCCCAAAAGAAATCCCATCTGGAGCAGGGTAAAGGCAGGGCCTCCACTGCTGCTGCTGAGAAATGATCTCCCATCTCGAGCACCTTCTCAAACACCCACCCTTCAGGAAATTCTGAAATCCATCTCCTCATCTCTCCACCTTTCCCAAACAGGTTCTTCCTTCATAACCAGACTCCCAGACCCTGAGGATGATTTGATTGCCCTCCTGCCCGTGTTTCAGGAGCTGAAGTGCCCCGTTGGCAGCACTGGGGGAAGGCAGGGGCACCATGGAGAGGGACAGCCACCCCTCCTGTAACGTGGTGCTCCAGACCTGCAGCCCCAAATTCTCTCACTCATTTATCTGCCACACTGCACTGCAAACACCCTGAACTCAGACTGACAGTCAGACCTCTCCTTCCTGCTGCTCTTTAACCAGTTCTGAACTGTTCCACCTGCTCTGGCTCTCAGCTGCATCCCACTACTGTCACATGAGTCTGGGAAGTTCATGGCAATATTAGCATATAAAAATATTGTACAACAACACTTCAGACCTGCTGTTGCAGAGAAATCTGTGCTTTCTTTCATGGCAGTAAATTAAAGATACACCAAGCCTGGTCCATTTGACTTCTAGAGTCGTGGCTTCAGTCAAATCAGCCACCTTTTGGAGAGGTCACAGCAAATGACCAATGTCAATGACAAATGAAAAAATGTTCCAGCATCTGTTCACGTGACATAAAGCATCTCCTCCTAGAGACTGGTTTTTTTTTTAATTTCACAATACTATTACAACACACAGAGCTACAAAGGGAGAACCAGGATTAATAAAATTGTGTTAGCACTGTAGAAAAAAAATACCTTGATATGCATTCAGCTGGCAAATGAGCTGATGAGCTCCAGATGAGACAAAGTGCTGCTGAGGAAAGCAAGAGCTGTATATACTGTACATAGAGAGCTAGAATTGAGTTAAAAATTAGTTGCTTTTCCATGTGGCTGACCAGTGTTGTTTTCAGACACTTGCAAACAGGGGGGTGGGTGGGACATGGAAATCCAGGTGTTCCTAGTGAGTAAATAGTGATATTTCATGCAACAAAGGGTGACTCTTGTTCCACAAAATTGTAGTCCAGGTTCCTGTACTGCCCATTTTTCAGCGCTTGCATTGTATTCTTACTTGATTTCTAGTTCTATATCTCCATGAGATATGTACCCAGTACCTTGTTTCATATTGAAAAGGTTGAAATTTATCCTTGAACTTCCAGTTGTGTGTGTATCCTATGGTTATCTGTATGCATTCTTTTCTATTGCTCTAATAAAATATTTATTACATTGAGGGATAATAGAACACCTCTAAGAGTTGTTGCTTGTTCCTATTACAAACTTGTACACGTTGGGGGTTTAATACATCCAGAAATGGTTGTGTTCAGGCTGCTGAGCTCTACCTCTGCCTCCAGGTTTGCAGCAGGATGGGCAAAAATCCACCTCCATTTCCTTGGCTTCATTTCCCACCTATCCAGTCAGGCTGTTCCCTCTTCCCTAACGTGGGAAAAAACCCCAATGTTTATAACCCCAATTATATATGGCAGAAGAGTTAGTTTTTTATAATTATTTATTCAGTGTATCACTCTTTAGGATTAAGTTGCAGGTCCTGTTTGCTGCTGCAGTTTCCTGTTCCTTACACTCTGCAGCTTCCCATGAAACCTGAGATTTTCCAGCACTAAAAACTTTTCCTTGGGAACACAGGCACAGCACAGCTATTTATTTATTTTATTTAAGTCTTTAAAGTGTGGATTCTACCTGCCTCCAGATGCTGCAGTAAGGGTTAATAATGATCCCAACAAATCACAAGTGCATACACAGGCCTGAAGAAGTTTTCCTTTGAGTAAATCAGTTTTTTTCCTTTCAGGTGGTTGTAGATGGACATTTCTGCCTTACTCTGCCTCCCCCAGTGTCCACATTAGTCTTCCTTTAAACTGATTTCTCTTTCTTCTTCATGTCATGTTAATTCAACTCAGGGGTATTTGCATGAATATTATTAATAGAAGTATCTTTGTTCTCCAGGGAGTTGATAAAATAACAAGCTGGCATTGGGAAAGTGCAGGAGGAAAAGGTGGAGGGGCAGTAAGAGATAATCCTACCTCTTGCAGGCATTTCCAGAGCAGCTCCTGTGACCATCCAAAATTAACAACTCAGTCCTGGGGTGAGGGAAAAAAAAGGAACAAAATAATAATAACAACAACAACAACAACAATAATAATAATAATAATAATAATAATAATAATAATAATAATAATAATAATAATAATAATAATAAAAACTTTAATAGAAGTACTCAAACAAGAACTGCAGGTGGTGGGGAAGGTGGTTCTGCCATTCCATTGGACTTGGGCTTCCCAAAAATAACCAGCACCTTGTCACAACTAATATTTGAAATCTCATAAGAAAGTGCATTCTTTTCAATTCCCCATCCAAAACCAGAGCTGTGCTCTAAAGCCTGAATTGCTCAGGGGTACTTGGAGTAAGAATTTTTTTTAGAAACCCAACCTTTCCTTTGAACAGTTTACTGTGGGATATGTTACAAACATGCAGGATCCTCTATGAATACAAAATGAGTTAAAAACTAATATCACTTCAGGCCAGAGAAATATTGGAGATCTCCATTTTCGACTTAATTTGCCTTTCAGTGGTGGCAGGCAGACATGGGCAGTGCCTGCCAGGTTCTATCTGTTATGTCTTAATAAGAGGCAATAAAGCAAGCTGTCCAGCATGAGGGAGTGCATTCATCTGACAGCTCTGTCTGAAATAAATAACAATGGAATATTGTGAAAATAAAATGAGTTTGTAAACAGGCCCCGGCTCTCTTAGGGGAAACAACCTCCTGGATTGGTTTATGCTAATGCTGTGAACTCCTGCAAAGCAATAAAAAGGGATGTGTTCAGCAGAGACAGAGCTGAGTGCACCTTGCTGCTGCTTTATCAGGGCTGATGGATGGAAAGAGGCACTGGGAGCTGCCAGGAATGTGCTGCAGCTGCAGCAGCCTTGTCCTGTGAGAAAGGGATTTCCTGAGAACCCCACAGGTCTCAGCTGGGTCTCTGAGGAGGAGGGAGCAGCCTAGGAAACAGGACAGAATGTCTTTTTTCCAGCCTGAACTCCTACTCAGCAAGCTCTGTGCACGGTTATTAAAGTTCTGCCTTTGGCCTGGAAGCGTCTCCAGACTTGGACACGTCCTTGGCACCCCTGGGGCTTCCCCTCTGTGCCAGCCCTGCACTCTCAGAGCAAGGGACTGGCCCTGGGAGATGCCCTCAGAGGGCTCCAGTGCTCCCTGACCCCAACCTGGGCTCCATCTCCTGTTTTCCTCTGGGTGACAGTGGCTGTCACTGCTGTGTCCTGCCTCAGGTCCACCAGAGGTGTGCCTGGTGTTTGGGTAAGCAGCCACCTTTCCTTGTGTCCCTGCTGCAGAGCCTGAGCTGCCACGTTGCACTGCCCTCCTTGGAATTCACACCCTGCTCTTGGTTTGCTTGGGGTTTGAACTCTCTGTTTTCAGACTTCACAGCTTGTGCATGAGAGTGTTTCAGTATTAGAATTTCACAGGACCTTCATGTGCATCCTTCCTTTGCTTTTTCCATCCTTAAGGGTCAAGAAAACTTGATAAACTCGCTCAGAATTAAATTTCTTTTCTTGAACTCCTCACTGATCTTTTTGAGGTCAAGAAGTGTCTTTGAAACTCCTTTTTTTATTCATTTTTTTTACCAAAAGCACAAATATGGGAGACATGCCTTTAACCCCATGCAGCATTACTGAGAACACTTTCTTCCCAATGTACCCAAGATTATTTTCTTACCCTTTAAGAGCATAATTAGTCCTGTGAGGTCTGGACCATGCCTGCTCTTTGTGCTGTGCTCTTCGTTCCCTCCCAGAGATTTAATTCCCTTTGCAGGGGAGAACATCAAGGCACTGGCAGAAAAAGGAAGAATCAAAAGCATCCCGTTAGGAGCCTGTGAAAGGATGCAACTTCAGGATGTTCATTAATTCAGCCCACGATAATTTAAACTCAAAACACCTCCTAGGACAGTGGGACAGCCAAAATTATCCATCAGGAAGGAGAAACTTTTGAGGGAGTCCAGCTCCTTGCTGCCTGCTCAGCCCTGATCCTCCCGAATCCCGCACTCCTGGGGATGCAGGGCTGCAGGAGGAGGGACAGGGATTTGCTGCCTCCTCCTTTATGAGCCAGGGGTGCAGGACTGGACTCCCCCAGCAGCTCACAGGGAGGGTTTGCCTGCCCTTGCTCAAAACCCAGCTCCAGAGCACGTGGCCATTAATGAAAATGCACTATAAAAGTGATTCCTTTGATCAAAAAGCCAAGGGCAGCTCCAGAGGGACTCGCTGCTTCCACACCATCCTCCTGCTCGGGGACATGGGGCCTTGGCAGTCTCCTGATCCTGCAAAGTGAGGCAGGGACTTCCAGGAACTCGTGGGGACAAACTCTGAGCCCTGCAGCCCCAGGGAGAGCTGCAGGTGCATTTTGTCACCTGCAGGGAAGGGACTGGGAGTCTCCCCTGGGACTGGAGGCTCTCCCCAGGCCAGTTCCTCCTGAAGGGGGGAGATGGATGGGCAGGAAAGGTGTCCACTGGGATTGCTGTCCCCAGGGGATCTCTCTCTTGTGCTGGAACACAAGCAGTGATCTGTTACATCAGGTGAAAACACAAAAAACAGTCAGAGAAAACAGGGAAAAGCCCTGTCTTTCCTGCCCTTGATGATAGAAAGAATAAATCATTTTCCCAGGATCTGAGAAGGAGTCAGAACAGGACGTGTGTTTAACAAGAATTTCCCTCATTAGCAATCCGAGGAGGGCCATGCTTAAGGCAGACAAATAATTTAATTTTTGTCACACTTCCTAACATTGCCACCAAACTGAGGCATTTACAGTCACCCTTGTCACAACACTAATTATCTATTTGAATAGCAGAGCTCTCTGCTGATTGAATGAGTTATGCAGTGAGAGCAGATCGTTTCAGCAGCAGCATCTGATCATCGTTACTTTTTGGATATAGGATGTAAATAGACTATAATGACAAAAAAAATGGCTTTGGTACCTTTTCAGCAGCTTCAGACGAGATGGAGGAGCTTCTGCAGCAGCCAAAAGCATCAGTTCATGGTCTGGAAAACAATGTCTTGGGGGTTTGCGTTGCCTTGGAAACGTGAAAAATAAAGCACCATTAATTACCTATTTTCAAGCAAGCAGTGTATCCAGTGCTGAGGGCCTGATCCCAGGCTAATGAATCCCTCACCCCAATTTCAGCAGCCTTGGGCTGATCAATCAGCCCTGCTGAACCAGGGGAGGGCTGAGGCACAGCAAAGCTCTGCCAAGTTTTCCTGCTGGCTGGGATTCCAGAGGCAGACATTCCCAGGGCACTGCTTCCTCTTGCCTTAGCATCCATGACCTCAATAACATCTCCAGCTGGTTGGTTGTTGTAATAAATGAACTTTTTCTTCAAGGAGGTACCAGCAGCAGACCTGATAAACATCCAGGAAAACACATAAAACACATATGCAAGCCCTATATAAATCCCACATATATACATTATATATATATATATACACACATATATACACATATACATGTATTTATTTATTTATTTTTACATTTTTTAAGTTTTTATCTGGAGAAAAAAAAATAATTTCTGGTGGTCCTGGCCACTGGCACAGTACCAGGAGTTCAGCCAGACCTTCTGCTGTCATTCTACCCAAAATATTGCCAAAATCTTTACTGTTATGTCTTCTGTATAACAACTCGTAAGTGTAATTAAACATTTTTTTTCTACAGACTGCACGTGCTGGTTTTCCTCTCTCTAGTACTGGTGCTAATTTTATAATTAGGAAATATAACTCTATATGAACTCTGAAATAACTCTAATAATAAATAACGTTCTGAAATCAGTGAAACTGGGATCAGCCTCTTCTCGTAGGAGTTTGAAGTTGTCATAAAAATTTCTTTTGAGAATGCTACACCCCCCTGCCAGCACAGCCCAAAGCAATCAGCAAAAACTTTAGGCACAAAAAAAGTATGGAGGGGGATAAAAATAACTCCAGTAATTCTGAGATCTTGCCCACAGCACAAGTCTGGGGCACAGCCACCTCCCAGGCTGCTGGAAAAGCACCACTTTCATCTCATATCACACTAAGCAAATGCTATTTTTATATTGGTCTCAGCTATTTTAAGCTAAAATTTGCTTAAAAAGGACACTGAAAGACAACCTTTCCCTTTGGTGAGCATCCACTTCTAAATGAGCTGTTTACAGCAGTAATTTGGAGTTTTCTTTTCTCTCTCCAGTTTTTTTTTCCCAGGCCTAATGCCAGTGGCAATCTCTGTGAATCTCCTGCCTCTTTCTGGAGGTTAAACTGGCTACAAGAAAGCCAGATCAAAGGGAAAGAAAAACTTTGTTTGGGAAGCACAAAAATATTTACATAACACAAGATAAGGCAGAACTCCTCATATCTACCATGTAGGCACGCTTGTAAAAAAGCATGTTTAAAAAATGGCCATTTTTAGTTCAGCTGGGGAGGAGAAAAGGGATTTGATAACTCCTGTAAGAGAAGGGAGACAAGGCTGGAAATCAGTTTGTGGTGCAGCTAATGGAAAAGATCCAGAATTTCCAGCATTTCCAGCCTGGAGGAGAAGAATCTCTTGGAACCATTTTGATGCACAAGAGGAAAAGAGAATAAAGTTTCCCACCACAGACAATTGAAGGGGAAATGGCAGCCAGAAACAACTGGATTGGAGCAGGCAGACCTTGGAAAGCAAGACAAGAACTTTGTTTCCATCTCCTCTGAGCTCCTCAGCTACAAACACCAATTCTGGCAGCAGCCTATTAATAGAATTTGTGAGATAACACGGGCTGAATTGGGGCTGGCCACTGCAGTCAAAAATTAGAGACATTTTTTCACAAGATACTTCTCAAGAATTCACCTCTTCCTGGCCAGCTCTGGTAAAATCAAACAAAAATGGGGTGCTCATTACAATTTTTAGTATTTGTTCTAACGAGTTCATCATCTCTCCTCACTGATGTGCTGGAACCAAACCAAACCATAAATGTTTTGATATCAAACACCCACTTGTGCCTGCCCTGGGAGGAGCAGAGCTGTCCCTTTGCACTTAATTAGCTGGGAAGAAATGAGAAAGGCTTTAAATAAGAGCCATTTGGGGAAGGTTTTCTTCAAAAGATGAGAGTTCTGTGATATTTTGGAGCTGCCAGAGGCAGAGGCCATCTGTCCTGGCTGGGTGAGTGCTGCCAGAACTCAGGAGTGGTGGGTAATGGTGGTTTGGATGGAAAAGGGCTGAGTGCTGCCATCAGAGCATGGACACCACGGTGGAGCCTGAGGAAAGCCCAGGTGAGAGCCAGGAACCGCTCCCAGCGCCTCCCTCACCCACGAGGAAATCACTCCTGCTCCTGGATTTCAAGAAAAGAGGTTCTGCTGCTTGGGGCCACTTTCCTGCTTCACTGGTGTTTGTGCTAGAAGGTGTGGGGCAGGGTCCTCCTCAAGGGGTTTTAACCCAATATCTCCCCATTTCCTGGAAACCTCGTGGATCAGAATTCTCCCTTTCACTTGGGGAGCTTGAACACCCAGCTGCATGTTTGGGGTGAAAGCTGAGATTTCAGAGACCATGGTTTGATTTCTAGGCCTGGATCATCTGCTAATGAGCTCCATTACATACAGCCACAACTTCACGACTGAATTGCTGAAAATCGGGTTTAAATCTCATTTTTTGCCCCAGTTCTGTGAAGTTTCAATTAATTTCCAATGTTCCACGTGCTCTTTTCTCTGGCCCCAGCCCAGCTGAGGTGCAGCCACGTGAGTCCTGCCATTCCCAAAGCAGCTCCTGACCCACTGCTCTTGTTGGGGCAGCACGGGGCTGGGACCAGCTCCCAAGGACAGGAATTGCTGATGGAATTCATGATGTCTCCTGTGGTCAAAATAGCCAGACAAGTTATAAATATAAGCAGACACTATGAGGGACAATATGGTAAAAATATTGGATTATATGGTAATAATAATAATGCACCATGGTAGTGGCATAGAATGGGGAAAAAAATTGAAATTAGAAGAGAATAAAAAGAAAATAAAAAGAGCATTAGAGAAACATTGAACATTTGTCTATTCCACCTGTCAATAATGCTTCATGTGTTGCTTTAAAGATTCAAGAAAGGTTCAAGGAAGATATTTGAAGTGCCAAGAAAACATTATTTGTTGGTGAGCCCCACCTGCCCATCAGCTGCTGTACATGGGCTTGAAGGACATTTTTCATTGGTGATAAGGAAAAAAGCATTTGAACAGAGAACCACAGAATCATTTAGGGTAGAAAAGACTTTTAAGATCATCAAGTCCAACCATTAACCCAGCACTGCCAAGGTCACCACTAAACCACGTCCCCAAGCAACAGATCTACACCTCCTTGAAATCCCTCCAGGGTTGGTGACCCCACCACTGCCCTGGGCAGCCGGTTCCAGGGCTTAACAACCCTTTCAGGGAAGAAATTCTTCATAATATCCAATCTAAACCTCTCCTGGCACAACTTGAGGCCATTTTCCCTCTCTTATGGCTCGTTACCTGGGACAAGAGGCATCTATTTCCCTCTCTGTGTAAAGCACTGAGTTTTGTGAGCACAGGAGCTCGGACACAGAGATGCTCAAATGAACACACCAAAGGGCACTGGAGCATCGCTGCTCCAGAGGGAAAACCTTCCCCTGCACACCCGTGGCAAGACAGGACTCCTGGCTCACAAATTCAGGACTTCCTCGCTTCAACATGAGGACAAATCTATAAAATGTACACCCAGAAACCTGAGGGAGCGAGGGGCTGGTTTCTCCACACGCCTGATCGCCAGGCTGCAGATGGACACTGCATTTAGAAATTAAACTGTAAGTGACTGCTCGTTGGGTTTTTTATACCACATCACTCGGATTTTGTGTCTGTGGGAAACTTTTCCTCAGAGAGGCTCTTTTCACAGGCACAGCAGGGATGGAGGTAACAGCATGAAATGAGAGAGCTTGAAAAGCAGCGGCGTGCTGCAGGAAGCCCAGCATTTGCATGTTAAGCTACATCTATTCCCTGAACGTTCAGACACATGAAAGCAAGCCTGGGTTTTTGGTTAGCAACAGTTCTGTTCGCTGCAGCCTGAATTTAAAGGTCAGAGATGTTTAGAGCTGGGGTTTTTTTGCACTTATCTGGAGCAGAGTCGCACGGCTCTCCTCGGGAGGAGCTGGGACAGCAGGTCACCATCCTGTCTGCAGCACAGTGCCTTGACACCAGTCCCTGTCTCCCAGTGCCAGTGGCCCTGCTGCACTGGGATGTTGTAGGAGAGACATTTCTCTGATAGCACTGACCTGAACAAGAGCTTTCCAGCGCTTGTCAGCTGTGACAGCCGAATCCTTTTAGGCACGTAAATGCCGCGTGAGTGGAAAGCGGCCGAACAAAATCTTTTTCCCAAAAACACAGCCCTGAGGGAAGTATGAGACATTCAAACTCGATTCAAACCTGTCTCATCCTCAGAAATTAAACTGATTTTTGACTAGGCTGAAGGTTTCCTACCTGGCACGGCGATTCTGCCCTTTGGCTTCTCCGCACGTGGCTGGCAGGGCTGGCACCATCATCTCCCTCCCACCAGGGCTGCGGGCACGGATGCTCAGCTCTGCCTCCCGCTGCTCCTCATCCTCCTGTGACACCCTGATGAACAGCCAGGCATGGCAGGGTTGTCATCCACACCCCCGAGCTCCCCAGGATGCTGTTTCCTGCCTTGCTCTGGCATTCAGGAGCAGGTGAAACGGGAGATAAAGAATAAAATGATGACCCTTGTCATCGCCTTCCAAACGAGCAGCACTGATGTGGCTGCGTGTTTGAATAGTCAGGGCAGGGCCAGACACACATGCTGGATTTGCTGAGGGCTCATGTCTTAGAATGCTGCTGCTATAGGTGAGCAATTAAACAGCAATACAAACCAAGATCCTTGTGTTCACCTGGAATGCCCTGGGGAAGGGCTCCTGGAGAGGCTGACAGAAAGCAGAGCACACCCTCCAGAGGGATTTTATTTCAGCTCTTCTGGACTGGTCATTTATCTCATGCTGGTGAGGTGGCACATGGTTCCATCCAAAATAATGCTGGTTACATTTAAATTATTCCATGAAGAATATCATACTCCATTTAAACTTGTGACTATCCCAGGGCTTAGTGCATCTGCTGAAAAGGTTCATTGCAAAGATTAAAAAAGAAATCAAAGGCTTTGAATCAGAGCTGCTCACTTATAGCAGCCTCATTTGGGCTGTGCTCAGGATCTCAGGCTCCAACAGCTCCACATCCTCCAACACCTGAAGTCAGGGGAGGTTTCCTTTGGGAAGAGCTGAGAGAAACAAGCTGAATCACAGGGATGGTTGAGTCAGGAACTCTGATGTCTGCTTGGTTTCGGGCACATTTGTAATTCGTGTTTAGAATTCAATTATTTACATAATTGACAGAAATGTAAAAGCAAATATGATAACAGAGTGAAAATATTTGTGGTTTCTCATGA